GATGAAACCAACATCATCTAAGAAGTAAATTACAATGACTGTGAAATACATGACATTGGTCATAGTGGACGCCATCTTCGTTTTCTTCTCATCCGTCATCAGAAACTGGCCTTTGAAAGACACAATATCACTCTCACCCTCCTCATATCACTGCAGATAGACCATCAACAACACCAGTTCTATTGGGATAATGTCCAATAGATGGAGAGGGGAAGAGAGGTTGATTACTGCATCTTTATTCATCAAATCTGCGCCCAACCCATGTAATAGGAATGACTCATAAATGATACCGGAAATATGGAAAATACTATTACTAATCAAATCAAGAAGTGAGAAATAATGGAATTATATTGAACAAAGTCATGAAGTCTAATTGAATTTTAAATTTTCCCGTCGACTGATTGGATCGAAGTGCTCTGTCTCAGGTTGACATGTCAGCTTCTTGTGCAGATGCTTCGACGATGTCTGGGCATTTAGTTAGTATTTAATTGGTGGATGTTGACTAGCAGTGGAATCCAGGATGCGCATTTCGTCCTATTTTGGACTTGTACAAGTAACTAACTTCCACTGCAAAGGACACCTGACAAGCATATATATATATATATATATATATATATATATATACAGTTATCTCAAGGCTCGTCGGAGGTAATCGACGTAAAACTGTTTATGTAGCTTCTGTCCTTATTGCCACTCGTTACCACAGTGTGTCTTCAACTAGGCACTGATTCTCTTGACAGATGACTTCAAGTCGCATCACACACTACTACAGTCACAGAGATGACACCAATGAGTCAATTCGCTCGATGATTCACTTTATAATTGACCACAATGGACCTATCGACCGGTCATTAGGGCATCACAGGTGCTATGAGTGGTTACTCTCTACACATCAATTGATGAACATAAAATGCGGTAAAAAAGCGTTCTTAATATAAGTATAAAAAAGCGTTCGCCGACATAAACGATCATCAGAAACATTCATCTTGTATATTGTTAAATCTACTTTCAACATACACTATTAGTAGGTGTTTGTTGGCAGATGTGATTGAATAGCTCATAAAACTACAACAAACGGGAGAGAAAACTAGTGCTACTAATAATGATTGACTGGTTTCTACATAGAATTTTGCACTGATGTGCAGCATTTCAAGTCGCCGCACTTCACTCATCACGTCCCGAGGCCCTCAACCAGGAAGTCTATATCTTCATAAGTGACAGTTTTGGATTTTATTGACTGTTGAAGCCATGTTTTGGTTTGACAACCAGCGGCTCTTTTCCAACCTAACTCGATGTCAGCTAATATTACCCATCAAGGAAGGCGATGGCTAGGCTAGGATAGATATGCGTAACACATGTCCTAACCATTTCAATCGAAGTAACTTCACAGTCTCGTCGATTGATAACCACAGTTGGTTTAGGCCACGTAGGAAGATGTCGACTTCCGGGTTGAGGTCCTCGGGACGGTAAAAACCAATTGCTGGAAACAATTGGTGATATACTATCTCGTACAAGGGACAATCCAAATCAAATTAAAAGCTTTCAGGGAAACAGGAGCTGCAGATAGGCCACAAGCCAAGTTCAACACTCAAAAGCTGAAGGACCAGGCTACAAAGGACATCTTCATTGCAAACATAAGGGAAGAAACAGAGACACAAATCAACATCAGCCGAAAGGTCAGCGTCGAAAAGCACTGGAACAACTTCAAAACGGTGTAGATTCAAACCTGCATAGAAATTCTAGGCAGAAAAAAGATACAGGACAAACAGTGGCTCACTACGGACACTTGGAAACTAATAGAAGAGAGAAGGGCAGTGAAACAAAAGATTTTCAAGTATTGGTTTTTGTAGGGATTTTGTTTTGATTAAATCCTCCATGCAATCAAAACAAAAGATTATCCAGTGCACTGACGAGCAACAAAAACAGGAGCTGAATGCAAGCTACAATACACTGAACAAAAGAGTGAAGAAGAGTGCCAGGGAAGACAAAAGAAAATATTATGAAACCATGGCAAACGAAGCAGAACAAGCTGCAGTGCAGGCAAAGGAGACCTCGCCACACTCTACCAAACAACTAGGAACCTTTCGGGCAAACGTTCGACACAGATTAAGCCAATAAAGGACGACAATGGAAAGTCAATCACCAAAGAGGTGGAACAGAGAAAGCACTGGGTTGAACACTTCAAAAGACTTCTAAATCGTCCGCCACCTACAACGCACCCAACAATACCAACAACGGAAGCAGAACTACCAGTGAACACTGACCCCCCGACGAAATCAGAAGTCCTGAATGCAATCAAGATGCTTAAAGCTGGGAAAACACCGGGACCAGATGGAATCCCAGCAGAAGCTTTGAAAATAGACCCAGAGACAACAGCGGACTTGATGACACCACTGCTGGAGAAGGTGTGGAAAGAGGGCAAAGTACCCGAGGATTGGAAGAAAGGATACTTATTCAAACTTCCAAAGAAAGGAGACTTAAGTCAATGTAAAAACTGGCGTGGAATTATGCTTCTGTCCATTCCAAGCAAGATACTAAGTCGCATCATCCTGGAGAGAATCAAACAAGCCAACCTAGATGAAAAACTTCGTCCGGAACAGGCCGGATTCAGGAGAAACAAATCATGTATTGATCAAATCGCCACTCTACGGATCATCATTGAACAAAGCTTGGAATGGCAGTCACCTCTCTATCTCAACTTCATCGACTTTGAAAAGGCCTTCGACAGCGTCGATCGAGAGGTCATTTGGAAACTACTTCGCTACTACGGGGTCCCATCGACAATTATACATCTCATCCAACAGTTATACGACAATGCTGCATGCCAAGTAATCCACAACGGGAAACTTACGGAAGCCTTCGAAGTGAGGACGGGAGTGAGGCAAGGCTGTCTACTATCACCAATGATCTTCCTGATTGCAATTGATTGGATAATGCGACAGACAACGGCAACCAACGAGGGAACAGGCATAAAATGGACTGACACAAAAGACTTGGAGGATCTGGATTTCGCCGATGATATATGTCTGATTTCCCATAAACTGGAAGATATGCAAGTGAAAAGTAACAAGTTGGCAGAAGAAGCATCAAAGATAGGACTTCACGTGAACATAGATAAAACAGAGATGATGAAGATTCCTAGCCAACATCAACAGCCACAACAACAACACACAACAATCAGCATAAATGGGAAGAACCTGAAAGAAACAACCTCCTTCACCTACCTGGGAAGCATCGTCTCAACTACAGGCGGAACTGACGAGGACATCAAAGCCAGAATCGGAAAAGCAAGACAAGCTTTCATTACTCTCAAATCTGTGTGGAGGTCAACAGCACTCAGCATCAAAAATAAGATCCGGATTTTCAACTCCAATGTGAAGTCAGTGCTACTATACGGATCAGAGACTTGGCGAGTCATAAAGAGCATCTCAAACAAACTTCAAACCTTCATTAACAGCTGTCTTCGCTCAATACTCAAGATCAGATGGCCGGCCAGAAAAGATCAGCAACAGGGATCTCTGGGAGCGAACCAATCAGGAACCGATTGTGAAACAAATAGGCAGGAAGAAATGGAGATGGATTGGCCATACGCTGAGGAAACCATCAAGTGACATCACTAGACAAGCCCTCGAGTGGAACCCGAAAGGGAGGCGGCGAGTTGGTCGTCAGTGCAAGGGTGACTTGGAGGAGGTCATGCGAGGAGGAGATGAAAGCATGTGGACAGACCTGGAGCAGGGTGAAAAAGTTGTCAGAAAACCGAAGTCAATGGAGGTGCGCAGCTGAAGCCCTATGTTCCTCTAGGAACTAAAGGATACAATAATAATAAATTGGTGATATGGCCTAAAGTCGTTCTCAACAGCGCAGATGCATCCACTACTTGTGACTTATAATTTCCAATGAAACTATTTTGTTCTTTGTTATTACTATTCTTTCGTCTCACACTGTTTACTGTCCCTGTTATGCATTTCTGCTCTTGCTTTACGTGCCACATGGAGTATGACGACTTGACTGCTGTACATCAGTGCAAAGTTCTATGTCGAAAACAGAGACAGACAGACTACTGGTCTGTCGGCCTATGCTAATAGGGTGTTTGTACATCGCTTCTTTGATGTTGTTCGATGGATCTCGTGCTTCGTTTGTTTCTTGTCCACTGCCCGTCGCACCTGGAAAACAAAACAAGAATGCTAAGAACCTTGTTGAGGAAAATGTACGAAATGAGCGTTTAAAGAATAATGTGCATCTACCATACGGTAAAATAATGCTAAGTTTAGAACATCGAAAAAAGTTTATGTTAAGGAACTTATCCCTCAGTTGCTATTGTTAAGAAGACGCTCCGCACCGATAAAAACTATGTACTTTCTTCTACTTTAACTCCATAATCCTCGTATTTTAAGAAGGAAGTTATATTGTTGGACAATTAAAGCTCTGAACAGTAAAAGTTTTTATTCGTTTTTTTTGTTTTGATATGATTATGAGAAGAGATAAATTGTACCCGTAATGTGGTCATCCGTAAATATTACTGCATAACACTGTGTGAGACTTTATCAAAATAATAAATTTTTCTTCATAATGGGAACAAAACCAATAGTAAATGATCTCATGTGTATATAATACAATGATATTTGCATACAAATGAGGTAACCTTGACAAAATAACCATCTATCAGTGATGACAAAGCGGAATGATTAAATGAAAAATCTTTTGCTACAGACACTTTGATGAAGGATGTTGATGGGGCGTCGAAACAACATCATGGATTGGTAATCTAATAGTTATATTATTATTTCATTCTATTGGTCCATCTAAGAGGTATGTATATCTTAATATTTAAGGCATACATAGACACAAAGATCTGTGTATAGATAGATAGGCGTAAAGGCTTACGTGTGTGTGCGTGTGAGCGTTCCAGTGTGCGTGTGTGCGTAGACGTGTACGTATTTCCCCCACTTTCGTACACTAGATCAGATCTACATGAATAAATACTACACACGTACAATGTACTGAAAGCAGTAATAATAGTAGTATATAAGTATAAGTAGTAGTCATAAGAAAAAAAATCGATTTATAACATTTATATTAGAAGGAATCAAGCAAGCAAGCAAACAAGGAAGCAAAGAAACGAAAAATACCAACAACAAAAAACAACAACAACAAAAACAACACTAGTTTACTTTACTGTGTGTGCAAAGGAGAGGGGAGGAATTGGTTGGCATTACGCCTAGAAAGGCAGACACTCATTCATTCATGCTTTCATTCATTCATTCAATCAGTGGGATAGCTTTATTTATTTACTTGTTTTATATTTTGCTTCTCCAACAATCTTGATTGTTAATTTTTATTATATGAATTATAAGATATATTTTGGAGGAATAATGAGTAGTACAGGCTGTTTATTTACTCAATAAACAGACTAACAGTGTTGGTTAATCAAGGAATTATTATACCATAGAAGGCATAGAAGGCATGATATGTTTCCTTAAACTGATGCAGCATAATTATCGTTTTATTTCATCGTTAATATTGATTTCTTATTCACTGCTGGATTTAACTGTGCGGAACTACTCGTAAAACAGTCATGTCAGCTGGATATACCCCGCCGTCTTCAAGTAAATGGACAGGGAATAGTAGTAGCAGTTTTTATACAGGAGAGAAAATCTCCTCGACCTCACCTATGCCTAATTGTAATGCCTTAATGAATCAAGAATCCTATCTGAATGCTTCAAAGAGTAATAATAGTCAACAGAATCGTTCCCTATCGCCTTATCAACAATCTCATCTGAATGATACATTAAAATCCCCTTTGTTGTTATATCCTCCCCCTCCTCCTTCAGTTAGCTTACAAATGCAGCCTATTCGAAATCATCGTCCTCCTGTTGTTGAAACACATTTTACGCATGAAAGATCCTCCCCACTGCCGAACTTTCAGAAGGTGAATCCGTGTCTACGTAAAGATCAATATAGGCCAGCGGTGAACTATCCAATAAATCGATACAATCCTGTTCGGCTTCACAGACCCCCTGTAAAGAATTTACCACAATCTCAACAGTATGTAAATAGGTTAAATATTAGTCCGGATTATCACACTGGATCATATATGAATCCACGTGTGTCAGTGAATCCCACCCAGAGGTGTACACTACATCCAAAAGGACGATCACCAAATTTAACACCTCCTAAAAGAACTCTATCCCCTGAAATAGCTCATACTTATATTCTGCCAAATAGTCCAGTCAATTCGTTAAGAAGTACACCTCTACCAAATAAAACGAATCTACTCGATAATGATAATGATGATCCGGATATCTGGAATATCGGTTCATCGACAGAATTTAGTCAACCGGTATATTCAATGAATCCAAGCCATCAAGGACACAAGTTTTCACTTTATAATGAAGGCCATAGGTTAATGGATGCACCAAAAGAATACACTGATCATCAGTCTATCAAATGCCATCAAGATTCAAATGTTTCCAGTTCTGAATGTGGCAGTTTAATTAGTACCGATGATGATGAGACGGTATCTTTGAATACAACAGACAGTGAACAGAATATGAATCTTCTCATGAATAGACATTCAATTTCTTTACAGAGGATTAATAATAGTAAATCGGAAATGCATGGTTCAACACAAACTCTCGTGCCGATGAGTAAAATTCAAAGGAATCGATTTAAAAATTCTCATACTTCATCGTGTAAATCAGTTCACTGGAACGAGAGTCAGACAGAATCAAAAAGAAAAAGTTCATTGGTAAGTTTTTCTTTTTTTTTCGCGCTTATTTATCACACATTTATTCCCTTTTATGAATTTGAGTAAGGCAAGAACAACAGTGGTTTGTGTGGAATAAGATGATACCATCATTGTTTGTCTCGTCGACTTCTCATCAGTTCAGCTGAGTGTATAGCCTAAAGAAATTAGCAAGTTTATGTCCAGAACAAATGGGTGGTGTACACTTCTTTCTGTTCTCCCAGTGTAGCTCCTCCCATAGATACACGTAAATACGTAAACACAATTAGAGTTGACATGAAACGGGTATCTGTCAACTTTTGATTGCTCCAATGAGTATGCTATCCGATAAACGGGAACCAACTTAACTAGCGGAAAGATTATACCTGGTGGGGTATTCAGTCTTCTGTTCACTATTCCTACAATGTTGTCACCTTTAAACTCGAGTTGAATGAAGACAGGTTTTTTCCCACTGTGAGTTGTTTGACATTTGACCCTTCACATCTTCCATACTTGTTAATAAACCTCTGGAAGTAACCACTTTTTTCAACATCTATTTGGTAATCATAATTTCTTCCTCTAATATCTCTGTGAAGTATATTCTCCTGACTGTACGGAACAGAGTTTTGACTAGTTCTCGTTTATAGATATTTGGTAAAAAACTAATAATATAAAAGTATTGTTCATTCCATGTCGGTCTTCGGTAAATTCATCTTCGAAGACTATCATCTTTCAGGTGTTGCATAGCGATGTCAAGGAAATGGAGCTTTTCATCATTTTCATATTCCATACTGAATGCAATATTTTTAGGTGTGCCGTTGAATAATCCGATTAGGTAGAAAGCATGACTTTTATTGTTGCACACTACAGTTGTGTCATCGAAACATCGACAATAAAAAGTTGTTTCCTCGACTGTAGGCTTCAACTTTGTTTTTTCAAGTTTGCGTATGAAGATATCTGCTAAAACGGAGCTAAGTGGACTTCTCATAGATACACCAGCTTAATGACGGCAAAGAGTGCTGTGAAACTGGAATTGTACATCAGTGGTACGCATTAGTGATAGGGTCTAAATTGCGACACTGGGAGTGGTATAAGATCAGAATGCATCTTTTCAGCGTATGTACGATCCTCCTCCATTTATTTATGCACATAAAATAAACCAGTGAATTTAATTTACATGAATAGAGTTATTAATTTCAGTCGACTTGTGAAATCTGCATCAAGTGATCCCTGTGTCTTACATTGGTGATATTTACTAAAGTTAACTTTACCAGGCGGTTTTTCCTCTGAGTTTTGCGTCTTCAGTGAATAATGAAGTCAGCTTAAGCATTAAAATCTTGCCTGTAAGTTACAGTGCTAATAGTTTCCCGTCTAGTCAGCGTGTATGACAGTAAGAGTGTTAGACGCTACACAGGAAATCCTATTCCCATGTGTATTTACTTATTATATTTTGGTTTTGAAACGAAATTCATAAACTTCATGGGACTGTGGTGAAAATACTTCCCAGAATGAGATATTTAACATACAGGTAAAACAGGTCCTTTTGCTGAGCTTATTATTGGGAAATTTTTATTCCTTCGCTTTCCCAGTAGAACATGGAGCTTTCAGCTTCCTATTTCAAGCCTTATTAGCAGTAGTGTATGTTTATTGCGGGGTGAGGATTCTAGTCTTACAGATAACATTCCTTTTTTTCCGGGATGACTATCGGCAAGGTGAGGTTAAGGAGTGCGCCGGCCGGGAATTGAGGTATAGTTAGCGAGATTTTTATCAATAGAACGCTAATGAATATTCGTTGTCTATACTTGCCTGTTTTTGAAAACCGAAGGTTGTAGAACAGATGTTAATGTATACTCACTAGTTTGAAATCAATTAAAGATTCATTTATATTGTTACGCCTATAAGTCACTTTTAATCGATTTGATGAAAACTGGAAGCGTTAAAGAAGAAAAATTAATGACCAGTTTTCTATCTCAGTGACTCCTCCATGATAAGTATAAATGTTAGTGCAACTAGACCTATATGAAGAAACCAATACATGTTTTCAGCTCATTTTATGCATATTAGGACAGCTTGCAACTTTTCAGCGTCAAATTTAAGGTAAAGAACTTTTTATTTCATTTAGGTATATCATTTTCCATGTCCTTACTGAAAAAGTGAATGGGGCATATGTGCGTATTTGGAAGAAACTTTGTCTACAGTGAACAGAATTTCGATAATTCATAAAAGCCTATCCTTCTTTGAGATGTTCTGTTGTTCTGAGTGAGGATTCAGTGATTTTTAACTGCTTACTAACTTTTAACTGTATGTCTTCAGGTAGCATTATTAAAACGTTATTAAAGGATTAACATTGCCATCAGGTTTTACCGATTTACCCGGCTTTTACTTCGAGCAGTTATTATTATTAACTTCGGTTCTGAATGAAACATACGGCTTCAAAAGCACATCTCCACTTTGTCCTAATCACTGCAGTCCTCTTCAGATGGTTCCAGAGTTTTCCACAATCTTTCATTTATCCCCACATGATCTCCTCCATGTCACTCTGGGACCCACGAACCACCCATAGTTCCCCGTTCGAGTTCAGTATGAGGGATGGCCTGATGCGCGATGTCACTGAGTTGTCTCTATAATGTGTATTCGATCCACCTCTATATTCTTCAGCATATTTTTTTGAGTAATAGGATCTTGATTGATTGTCTTCAGAGTTTCTTGTTACCACTTCTTTCTTCCTTGCCATCTGATCTTCAGTATAGGGACAGAGAGGACAGCTATTGACAGTAGTCTGTAATAGTCTGTTAGAAATGATTTCATGACACACCGGTCATTTTTATGATCCATGTAGAAGAAGCAACTAAGTTAACGTTGGTGTTGGAAATCCGGATTTGCTCTTCATCCTATGGAATTCAGAATATTTCCAAACTAATTTCAGATTGATGAATGTCTGTCTGCCTTGCCCTTCCGATTCTGGCTGGGTTTGTTGGCTTCATAGGTGTTGCCTGTAGTTGAAACGATGCCTCCTTGATAACTGAAGGAAATGGTCTCATTTAAAATTTATTCTTTTGATAGTGATTGGTGCTTATTGTTGTTGTTTGGTTATCTCCATCACCTCTGTCTTCTCTATGTTCATTTGAAGTCCTGTTTCCGTTACCTGCTTCTTCTGCTAACTTGTCAGTTTTCGCTTGTAAGTCATCAAGTTTGTGTGACATTAGATATAGATCACCAGCGAAGTCTATATCTCCTGGAGTCTTCTCATTATTCCTGTCTTCTCGCTTCCGAAAGTCTTCTGCATAATCCAATCCACAAAAGTTAGACATGTCATCCTTGGTGATAATAGGAAACCTTGTCTTACTTCTGTATTCACTTCGAACGCCTCGCTGGCTTGAATGAAGTTGATAAGGATTTAGGGCACTCATCAATCAAGACCACATTTTATTGTCCCTTCCACTTGACAACTTTCTACTAGGCTCACCCACATCCGCAGTTTGCACTGGGATTGACTAATCTTCAGACAGTTAAAATGAATATATTTAATCAAATATCAATATTTTCTTTTATTCAGGAAATATTTTCTATGAGCACTTATGACAAACTTATTTATATCACGTCTTTATAGAGGAACGCTGAAGGTATCACAAAAACGGATTCAGGATCTCCCATGATATCTATAAACTATTACAACGCGTCTAAGCAGTAATAAGCAGAGTATCATTCGTATGCATCGTCCAATAAAATGTATAATTTTAAAAACATTCCTATGGCTTCATAATTTTAGAACATATTGATGTTAAGATCTATGAAAACTGATCTATCTGACTTTTTTGGTCTCTCCTTGTAGATATTTGTAGAATTTAGTAACATCTAAATGCTACAGTGGAGAAAAGTACAAGGTGATTTGAGTGAGAGTCTACAGTTTTCACTATCAATTTAAACAAACTAGATTCTATTGGAAATCGAGCACAAACTACTCACACTCATAATCAAATCAAGTTACTCATACAACTTTTTTCTTTCATTTATATACATGAGTAAAACCTGATGATTAGACATTTGAATAAAAACCAATATAGGATAATGTACATTCAGAAATAATAATACCAGTGTTATTGATCAATTACAATTACATGTGAAATAAGACGAGTGTTTTTATAGTTAGAATAAGTAACTTGTTAGAATGTTGTGATACACTGGAATTGAAATAGAATACAATTTAAGATTATTTATTATCCTCCTGTGATTTCACTGACTAACTGATGGTTATAATATCTTCCATATCTCTGGTATTTGCATTGAGTCATTTCTGTTGTATGTGTTTGGTGTAGACTCAATGAATAAGGACTCCGTAATTAACTTCTTTCTCCACCTACCTATATTACGTTTTACAATTTTAACCCTACCCCACCCTATTGTGTGGTTGTTTGTTAATGCGTGAAGTGTAATTGCTGAGCTTTTTTCTAAATTACTTATCTTCTCGGGGTCAACCATTCTTACCTTAGCTGAATTCTTATGTACTGATAATCTGACTACTCCCGACCTACTAGTTTGACCTCACAGTCAGTGCAGGGTATTTTGTAAATTGTATTATTTTGTCTAATTGGGTCAACCAACAGGGTCCTTTAACCTACAGAGCTTGTCCCTGAGTGAGTTTGTAGGTTTGAATGCCACCCTAATTCTTGCTTTATTAAAATCCTACGTAGGGTCTCAGATGTCCTCTCCTTATATCGTAAAACAGTGGATGACTTATATTCTCTCTTGTTTATGTTACCATTACTAGTTACACAATCAATTTTGTCTTGTTTTTGACCTTTACTGATCTTCCTAATGAATTTTAAAGGATAGTTATTCAGCAGCAACGCTTATTCCATCTGTTTTATTTCGTCATTTAGGTTTTTCTTGTGTTACTTAGTGCTATGGCTCGGTTTGTTAGACACTTCACTAAACCTGCCTTAACAGTTAACGGATGAGACGAATTAAAGTCTAAATATCTATTAGAATGTGATGGTTTTGTAAAAACACCAGTGTGTAGTTTG